ATGGTCTAGAAGTAAACACGTCGAAGACTGAAGTCTTAAATTTCCACAGAGGAAGCCGAGCCTCAAAAGAAACCTTCGCGTTTAATAAAACCCCCCTCAAGGTCGTAAAGGTATACAAGTACTTGGGCATTCAGTTTTCCTCTTCCGGATTAGGTAGAACAGCGAGAGAGTCAGCGGTCCGAAATGCAAATATGGCGATAGGCGCAACGTTGCAAATACTGGGCAAATCCAAGGCGGACTCGTAGGGGGGCGGGCGTATAAAACTGTACAATAGCCTGATTGCTTCGACACTTCTGTATTCGGCTCATATTTGGGGGCTCAGACATTTGAACGAAATGGAAATAGTACAGACGAATTACTTCAAAAGGGTCCTGGCACTGTCGAGAAGTACACCTAATGGGCTGTTACGCTTAGAATTAGGCCTCGTAAAAGTGGCGCTACAAGTTTTCAAATATGCATGGAAATGGGTAAGTAAATTATTACAAATGGATCAACGCAGACTCCCACGACTCTGCTTGTTACGCCAGATACACCTATTTGGTAACGATAATACGATAAATGTAAAATACAACTGGGTAGCCCAATTCAACAAAATTCTAGAGCCAATAGGTCTAAGCTACATGTGGGAAAACTTGAACCCAGAATATTGGCAAGAAAAGGAAAGTTACGCATGCGAAAAGTTTGCACAGTTACTGGGGGCTTAGGATCTCAATAAATGCCTCAACACAGAATCTTTAACATGTAGAGTGTTGAGAGTAACCCAAGGTACGGCTGCTAAGTACTTATATAACCGAAATATGTTCCACACTGCAAAGATTTTAGCGCAACTAAGACTTTCTACTATCCATGTATTAAGATTTTCGTACAAGGGCGAATCATATTTAATCGACCAAAGAGTGTTGTGCTCTATTTGCAATTTAAAAGTTAATGAAACAGCCAGCCACTTTTTATTCGAGTGCCCTACTTACCGTAGCATGCGAGAACATTACCTGGAGAGCATCATAAAGAACTCTGCGAACTYTTTARKGACAATTTGTAATCTAACAGAAACTAGAGACTTGAAGGCTTTTTATGCATATGTTGTGAATGCGTTAATGTTAAAGGCTTCTATCATGAACGAATAATTTACCCTCTTACATTCTGACCGTCAATTACGCGTGCGAAACTTTCTGATTTTAAACATTTTTAATTATAGATCATGAATGAAAGTACAAAGAACTCACTCTGCTACGAGTATGTAACTTATAAGCAGAATAAACGAATTGAATTGAATTGAATTGAATTGAATAATAATTTTTAAAAAATTTACTCTATTTAATAAATATATTATATAATTTTATAATTTATATATTTATAATTTTAATTTAAATAAATATAATATATTATTATTATATATATAATAATTTATATAATATTATATTATAATATAAGTTATAAATTAATTATATTTTTATTAAAATGTTACACGTGTTCTTTTTGTTCTTTTTTATTTTCTTAAATATTCTTATCTCATCAACRATATTTCGTTCATTCTAAGGAAAACTAAAATTAAATGTGCACTAACTAAAAATAGCTATGAACGAATATTGGAACTAGTTGAATATAGAAATAGAACATATGCGTAATACATTTTAAATTAAACGACGAAATTAAATAATTCTTTTCACACACACACAAAAAAAACAAAAATCCAACGAAAAGAAAAAAAACT